TCCTTGGGCGTGAAGACACCCAGCTCCGTAATAATGCCACCAGTGATGAGGTCATGTGGGGTGACATCAAAGGCGGGATTCCAAACCTCAATACCTGCAAGAACAGAAGACACTGAGCAGGCAGAGATTTGGCTTTGTGAAAACCCTCAGCTTTTGTCACCCTGTCTCTACCACAGTGCTTCTTGGGGTTGGGGAGCCCTTGAAAATCTGGGGTTCTCACGCTAACCCAGGACAAAGACATGGGCACTGATCCCACTAAGGCTACAGGGTCAGATCTCTCTATCGTGCCTGGACAGCTACTGCCCACAAAGGCATTAAAAGTCTTTTGTCTTTTTGAGTCAGGGTCTTGCTATGTATCCCAGGCTGGCTTTGAACTCTTGGCAATCCTCCTGTGAAGAGTGCTGGGATTATAGGCATGCGTCACCCCAATCTATTCCCCTCCTGACTGCTCACCAGGTGCTGCAATCCTGACCCCGTTTACATCAGTGAGCTCGTGGGCGGGGCGTTCCTCAATGACGATATCCTGGCCAGTCTCCAGACGGAGATCACAAGAGGAGCTGGGGGCAGCCACGTAGAAGGGGATGCTGTGGTGCTTGGCAGCAATGGCCAGCTGGTAGGTGCCCACTTTGTTGGCAGTGTCTCCGTTGGCGACCACCCGGTCAGCTCCCACGACAACAGCTGGGAGCAAGGAACTGGATGAGTGGTCACACAGCCCAGTCCGGGTCACCTAGGGCCCCACACACTGACCTGATACGCCCCTGTGGGCCATGGCGGCAGCTGCCATGCTGTCAGCAATGAGGGTGGCAGGGATGCCCTCGTATACCAGCTCGAAGGCTGTCAGCCGTGCACCCTGGTTGTAGGGCCGGGTTTCCGTGCAGAAGGCGTGCTCCAGGCGGCCCAACTGGTGCAGTGACCGGATCACACCTGTGGGCGGGAGGGTAGGGGTGGGGTCAGCACTGCAGGGTTCTGCCTGGGGAACCAGGTTCCTGCAGCATCTCCTCACACCTCTGCAAATCCTTCCAAGTCCTCAGCAGTACAGCCCCTCTATCTGTGCCATCTCTTTGTCCTTAAGTGTTTAGCGTCTTTCTTGCAGTACTGGATACTAAACCTTGGGCCTTCTCACTGAGCTACATCCCCAGCCCCTTTTTAAAAATTTCTTTTGAGACAGGGTCTTGCTCTGTAATCTAAGCTATCCTCAAACTCATAATCTTCCTGACTCAGTGACCTCCCAAATGCTAGCATTATAAGCATGCACCACTGGGCTGGTGAGATGGCTCAGTGGTCTAAAGCACCTACTTAGAACAAGCTTTGCAAAGCATAGGGACCACGGTTCAATCCCCCAGCACCACATGCCAGCCAGCCCCGCCCCCTGGTGGGCTGAGCTGGCCACACACACACACACACACACATAAATAAATAAAAAAAAATTAAAAAAAAAATAAGCATGCACCACCACATCTGGCTTTATGGATTTATCTTGCTGTTGGGTGTCTGCCCCTCTTCCTTCCCAAAGGCAGGGATCTTGTCTGCTTGTTTCATGCTGTGTCTGCAAGTCTGGTGCACACAGTACTAGGAATTTAAATTTTCAAGGATGAGGCAGAACCTCGGAAGGTAAGAAGATTTTCTGGAGAATGTCTGCCACCATGAACTTCACTTCCTATCTCCCTCTCCTGGTCATAGCTCCCTCAGTCTTACTTCAGTGGGGGTCACTGCTCCTGTCAGTCCTCTTAGGGACCGTATCTTGCTCCTCTTTAAGCTTATAGCTGTGGAGTGGGCAGGTAGCTCTGTCAGACCTCATTATTATTATTTTTTTTAAGAGCAGTGAATGTCAACTTTTATTTTTATATGGATTTTGTTTTACAGAGCTTCGATATGACCTGCCAGCGTTATACAACTTTCATAAAAAGAAATCAGTAAGTCTCTTGATTCTGGCCTGTCTAGCATTTAGTACTGAAAAACTCTACAAGTAACTATTTCTACTGTTATCAAGTTGCCTGGGTAAATATAGAAAAGCCAGCCTCAGAGTAGCTATTATGAAGTGTTCTGAGAAGCCCAACATGGGTAATGCATACCCATAATCCCAGCACTTGGGAGACTGAGGCAGGAAAACTGAAAACAAACAGAGTTGTTTTTGCTCACAATCAACAGTCAGTACTCTGTAGTTGAAGATCTTAACAAAAAGGAACAACAAGTTCTTACTTTTTATACAGTATATATTTTGTTATTTTTTACTAATACATTCTCATAATACAAAGGCAAGTTAGTGGAAGAATCTTCCTTTTTGATATTTGAATCATGTGAACACAGAGAACTATACATTTAAAAAAATGTGTTTGGATAACACAAC